ATATTCTCAAATTCTCAAATTCTTAATTTCCCACATTCTTAAATTCTCAATTTCTTAAATTTTCAAATTCTTAAAATCTCAAATTCTCAAATTCTTAACCTTTCTAATTTTTAAATTCACCGGAAGCAGATGGATTCATCAGGTGATTTCACTGTACACATACAAAAAAGCAAAATTTAATTCCCTAGATCACATCTTAAATTTTTCTTTCATTTATTGCCAAGTCCACGACAAACACTGTTTACCCACTAATCAATCTAAAAAAAACTTCTTCTGCACCGTTCCCGGTCTTACCCTGTAACTCGACGAATTTCACGTTTAATTTTCACATTGTTCGAAAATGGCTAATTTCGCACTTATACACCATTCTTCCAACTCACCGACCCAATTAACCAATATCTGCCTATCGCGAAATGAATACTAAGTTCAAGTGATTCATAACTAAAACATCGACTTCAATTTCAACCTGATCCAATACCAAGAGCTTTCATTAAACTCTCAAGCTAAATACGTCCCGAAGCTGAAACGAAATCATTTGAATTGCAAAGACCGCGGTGTTATTGCACACTTCCTGATCCGTATCAATTCACTTTTGAAACTAGAGGATAGCCATCTATGCTTGATCCTCGCATTTACATTTTTACGCAACGAAAGAGGGAAATAGAGAGAGAGAGGGAGAAGAAGAGGGAAAAATTGCAACATACAGCGAGTATACAGTGTGTATCTTATCTATATAGGCATTACTCGTAAATCTGCAAGATGGCCTGTGCTAAAGATTCTTAGGAAACGCGTCTCCAGTTGCGTTAGGTGAGCGTGTCACTGATTCTCTTTCTTACCACTGACATTCTCTGTTTCTTGATCTATCCTTTGATAAGCGAGGAGTATTTTAATCGAAATGTTTTCCTTCGTCGTCTCCTATCTGTTGTTGTTCTTCGTACGATAAGTGATAATCGAACGACGGGGAAATTTGTTCCCCTTTCCTCTCTTTCAGTCGATAAAATCGACGTTCGCCTTTATCTTTGTATCTTCTTTCCATTAAAAGTTCGCAAAGGTAGCAGAATTAAGGAAAAAGGGAAAAATAAAAAGAGTTTCCTAATCTGAATCTCTAAATTTAATTTTCTCGAAAATTGAGATTCTTATGAAAAAATCTTATTCATTTTCGGTTTATTTTTGCATGTATAGTCATCCTATGCTCGATTGTATCACTCATCCTGCCCCACTGTTCCTTATTTCTGTTTCTCCCTGCTAAGCAGTCTCTTTTTATTAGCAGTTATGAAGTATATATATAAGAAGAAATCTTGTTTACCGGTACATTTTATTACGATATCTGCCTAATTAATTTTCTACCTCTAACCTTCATTAGAGGCCGCGACAATTCTAGCATCTCAGTCACCGATTACGAATTTTTCCGAAAAAACTCTCCAGCACTCTCCAAAACTACCCAATACAAATTTAAAAAGTAACAGAAAAAATACTATTTTTTTTTTGTAAATCAGTCAAAAATGTACCTATACTTTTTTATCAAATCAACGAAAAAATATAATGCAGAGTTTTAGTAATTAGTTTATGCGAGCCGTGAGATAAAAAAGGTTAAAAATCGTCGATATCTTAAACTTGCTAAATGTCACCAAATATCTTCGTATAATCGAAACGAGTAAACTATGTTTCACTACGTTTTCTGAATCACGTAGTACAGGTGTAACTGAAATTATACGACCGCTGTATAATGATTTTACGAGATATACCACGAAAGCTTCCTTGACTTTTATTGTGCAAATCGCTCATGAATACGGTCACTCAGCCCGCAATCACGACCTACACGAGGCGATGCCGTAATAACGGGGCGAGTTCTATTAATTCTTCACGCGACATTGCAACATGACATGTAGGCTGCTGTGGCTAAGTCCACGAACCAGCGTATATATATACATATATATACACGCTTCAATAGCCGTCTTTCTCGGTTCAGTTACAAAAATTAACACCTATATTCTACACAAATTGCGGCAATGAGTTAAGACCGCTATAAACGTGTGGCGGTATGAATTATATGGGGAAAGGACATTAAGCGGCCGACACGTGTATAAATTACAGGGGGATTTCTGAATTTCGTTAATGAGTCTTTCAGAATGCTATTAAAATCCGCACAAAGACGCCCCGCAGAGCTTGAATCTGGTTTAATTCCGCTGAAACAAACGGACTAATCTACCGTGTTGCATATTTTCTCTTCATTGAATTTTATGCCGCTTTGTTGCATTGTACATTGTGTGGAAGTGATGTTCTTTGATAAACGAACTTGTTTGAAATGATGGAACGACGTTTATTAATGAGTAAATTGGAGAATTGTATTTTTTAATAATTCTGAAAAATAAATTGCTGTGTTAACGCATCCGAGACAGTATAAAGTCGTTAGTTTCTTTGTTACTATTTATATTTTGATATTTTAACGACTCTGATTGAGGATTATTCATATTTTACTCAATCTACAAATTAATGGCAATTTTATTTTTTATACACTTTATTTTGCAAAATTGGTGATACTAATCTTTATTATATTGCATGACTTTATCGATTTATCGAAACAGTTGTCAAGAAAATTAAAGAAAATTCGAATTTCTGTCTTATGGGTTTGAAAATACGTATAATTAATTTAAGAAAAGGAAAACTGAAATATAATAAATAAAAAATTTTATCGGAAAATTGCAACAAAATATGGCACAACTGTGTTCATTTGAAAAAGTACATTTCAACCTAACCTAACTTTCCGTACGATGTATTTTTGAATGCTCCGACTATAAACTGAAGGAAGCGTGTTAATAACGCTTGCAAAAAGTATTTAACCACTCATGCAATGATAAAGTAATTGCATCATCCTCGATTCATTACAGATGCAGTTTCGCGGCTGCCTTGGCTTGCAAATATGACAGTAGCATTCATCAACTAGTCCTAATATCCGGAGGTGGTCCAACGCCTTTAACAGCTCCAAGCACCGAAAGCGCTGGCCACTGTTGCCTCAGAGCTATCCTAGCGCCCTTTTTAATGTGCGGCCTTCACAGAGATATATTATATTCCGCGAGGGGCCGTCAACACCCTTACTGTGGCCCCGAGCCACCAGAACAATGGCCCTCGCACATGAAATACGTTTTGGACGGCATGGTCTGGCCGGAAGGAGACTACGTGTTCCATAGAAGGATATGCACACCGACACTACTCATACACGGCCTCAGAGATAACAAAGTGTCACTCGTACAGGAATGTCAGATGGAAAGGGTTTGTGTTTCTCTTGAATTTCTTTTGTTTCTGGAATGAAGTGTTTCTCGTAAATTTTGATGAAACTATTTATGTAAGAAGGATAGTAAAATTATTTGGTTTATGTTTGATACTTTTGACGAGATTATATATTTAAAAGAATCGAAACAATTTAGTATCTTAGATAGAAAATTAAGAAATATTCGTTTTTGGTCTTATTTTAGGTCTTGAAAGATACAGATTCTAATACACTTTCGTTTAAATAAATATGTAATTAATATTTTATAAGATTTCCTTGCAATTGTACTGCGGGGTCGTGAATGTAATTTACGTATTATAACCATTTGTACTAAAAATTTTCTCAGCAATTTTATTATTATAAAATACTCTTAAATCACTCTTGCTCACAGAAGATAGTTGGTCAAAAAAGAAAGTCCAGATAGTTTTAAAATAATTTTTATTACGTTTCCAGTGTTAACTGTAATTGTTACGTTTAATGTTTTAGACTATGTTGAAAGCTTTCCTCGAGGCGATTCCAACTGCTGGCCATACTCCTATGACTGATTGCCCGGAGCAAGTAAATCACATGATACATTGTTTCATAGACTTATGGAAGAACAAGAAATGGTAGCGGTAAAATAAGTAGGTACATATGTTCACATGAAGGAAAATATGTGGATTATGTATGTTATTATGTAGTAATATTATATTTAAATCAAGTTCTTTGTACGGGTATTTCACTCATTGTACATGATAAAGAGAGACAAAAATTGTGGTGCCTTGTGCTGAATTTGCTGCGAGGAATTGAACGTATTGAGACAAAGATTAAGATCTATTGTACATAATCTAGATTCTATACTGGTGAAAATTCGTTTGTATAGAACACTATTTTATACAATTGCAATGAAGTAACCAATTTTTTGTACGACTATTTTTTCTACGAACTTTGTTTAATATTGTATAGCTGAAAAAATAACTAATAAGATATTCGCGTTTGTAAAGAAGTTATATAAGTCTGCATAGTAACTGTGCCAAAACATGTACACGATTGTTAAACTGTTTATTCGTATTTACGCAGGCCTTAACGAAGGTTCGTTTGTAAATGAAATTATAAAATACAATTTAGAGGCTATGTAGTAGCGTATAAGTTATACCAAAGATGATTTATACACTGTTATTTTATGTATTCTACAGGAGTATAACTTATTCGTTTACAATAAAATTGTGTACAGACATTTGATCCATTCATGATTATATTTATGAGTCTTATTCCTCGAATTCCTCGGAACCATTTAATCAGTCGTATATGTATTGCATTCTGTTCGATTATGATTCAATATCAACGATTTAGGAGTAACTTTTGATTGAGTGGATTTTCTGGTGATTTCATCCATTCCTTCTTCAATATTTGTTTCAACTGGCTTAACCTGAGTGTAGGGTTCTGCTCCTTGACCATGGGCATCATTCTCTCCTCAAAACTAGCATATGCGGCCTTTGCACGTTTTTCTGGATGACGATCAATTTCTGGTTCTTTTGTACTGTTAAAAAATAATAGTAATATTTCTGTATTTTTATGGTACAAAAATAATCTACACTTAAAAAGTTAGTTCAGCAATCATGTTACCTTAAAACAGACAAAGCTTCATCTATACCATGAGCAGTTTCACCCTCTAGTGTTATCCTATTCAAATTTTCCTCAATTGGTTTTTCATCTTCTTTCTTTTTCATTGCTACTTGATTTCGTTTTTCTGATTCAGCAAGTATTTCTGCTCTGCTTAGTTTTGATATAGGCTGTTTACCACCTATCTTTATAGTTGCCATTTCGTTTTCAAGTATAGCTTTAACTTCTGCTTTCTTTTCCAATTGTTGCTGACGTTTCTTTTCAAGTTCTTCCTACAAAATGAAATACAAATGATATACAAGACAAATATTTTAACAGAATGAATAGAATTTAATGAACATTACTTAATTAAATACCTGTCTTTGCTTCTTCTTCAACACCTGTTTATCGTTATCTTGCCAAGCTTTTTCTTCCGCTTCCAGAGCTTTTTTCGTGTTTTCGGCTTCTTTTGCCGCTGCTTTCCTTGCTCGAGCAGCGGCAGCTTTGCTATTTTCACCAACGAATTTTTTTGGCATATTGACCTAAATTTTATCGCAATTGTAATATAAATTAGAAATCCGTTAGTAACAAATTTTCTTATTATCTATTTAGTTATGAAAATTCGGTATTACTATTGTAAACAAAAAACAGTAAAATCGAACGTTTTAAGAATTCGCGGGAATGTAGTATTTCACTATGGTTTAGTTGGCAGTACTGCTACACGTGCGCAGATGTATCGGTCAGCTAAAGCCGTTGAGGTTAAAGAATCATTAAAATCATCTTTAATTAAAGCTACCAAAGTCGAAAATATGGTGCAAGTGATTTACAAATTATAAATGACGTGGTACTCTGGAAGTACGTGCTTACGTAGAAAAATTTTACAATATTTTACAAATACTCGCGCAATGTCGAAACAGGGATCAAAGAAAGCTGGAAAAAATCAAAAAGCGGCGATTAAGGAGGTCAGTGAATAATAAAAATTGTAGCTTACCGGCTTCGATTACGAGGATTAAAAATTGAAATGTGATTGTGATTTGATCACCTATTAAGAAAATAACATGACATTTTCTATGATACACTTTCTACTTATATTTAATACTACTAGGTGTCGCTTGCGAATTCACGATTGGCAACATTATATTTGCAACTCACTAGATGCTTTTCAAAAATGCCAATTTCTTTCGAAAGAAATAAACACTTTGCTAATTAAAAAGGCATAAAAAAAAATTAATATTTCTGTAATATTGTATTCACAACGTATGATCAATGTTATAAATATATTCTGTACGATTCTTGAAACCGACACGTATGTAAAATTTATACCGTGTATTTCGACATTTTCGTAAAGAATAGTTAAATTTTCATAGGAACTTAAGGGACCGATAAGCGTAGATAAAGACGGAAACGTTACTATAAAAATACAAGCAAAACCCGGAGCGAAACATAACAATGTAACAGGTGATTATACGGTACAATTTTTCAATTAAAATTAAAAGTAGAAAATTGGATTTTTGTACTGGAAGGTAGTGAATTCCTTTATAGATATTTCTGACGATGCGGTGGGCGTCGCAATATCCGCACCTCCGGTCGAAGGTGAAGCAAATACGGAACTCGTGAAATACTTAGCTTGTATATTGGGAATGAGAAAGTCTGACGTTTCGTTAAACAGAGTTAGTTCAATATTTTATTAATCGAATTTCACTTCTTTTTTTTTTTAATTTCATCTTTTTAAAAAATCATCTTTTATAGGGTTCGAAAAGCCGACAAAAAGTTGTAGTAGTGTCTGGGACCACGGTGGAAAAAGTTTTAGAAAAATTAAAGGAAGAAATGGGAACTTGAAAATCGTAATAATCTACCGTTAACCTACTTTCATCTTTTATTATCATAATACTTATTTTGTATAAAGCATATAATGTTACACTTTCTTCTCTTTTGATAAGTCATATTTACTGTACATAAATATGGCAATCATGTCAATATAACATGTTCAACTAATTTATACAATAAAAAAGTAACTTTGTACAACTGTTACGCCATACAAATAATTCGTTAATAACAGTATTAATTTCAGCAATGAAATATATACTAATAAAGATTTCGTATTATATATATATGTATATCGATTCTTCTGACGTACACTTATCCTTTCGTAAAAAAGTATCATTTACAATATCTTATCGAATATTTGAAATATTATCAATGCTTTAACATATTTAAAATATTGTAAACAATATTTTTCCATTCATCATAGACATTTACAAAGTATCAACAACATATAATGCAATATAATACTTAAAACTTGTATATCTAAGTTTTTGCCTGCTTCCATATACTTTTTATATATTTTCTACACATTTAGTAATAGAAGAAGCATTTAAAAACGTCGTATGAAAATAATGTTTGTGTTCGTTGTTTGTAAGTACTTTTAGCGTTTGTCGTTTTAATTTCTTCTAGTTAAAAAAATATAAATGTATCTGTTTATTAAGTTACGTTTACTCTGTGATAAGTATTGTTATAAGCATGTTAATTTTCTTAAGTTCGTAGCGTTTTCCGGAATCTTCAACGTTCGTTGTCCCAAAAGCGATTCCGGAACGATTTCTGACACGATTTTTTATATCCGTATATTAAGGTCGTCGGTGAAAGATAATTAAACCTTCACTCCTGTATCTCGAAAGCTTTATCGTCCAGCCATGGCCGAAATATTGGCAATGTTGACGGATAATGTGCTCCTCTTTTCGATGGCGCTGTCCCCGCTGGAGCACCTTCCTGTCTCAGAGGATAAGTGGCCAGGACGATTGGTATTTGTAGCTTGATTTCTTTGTCCAAACTTTTCGGACTTATTACAAACTGTAACAAAATGAAATTTTTGTTTTTTACACATTTTAACAGTGAAATTTCATTCGATGTAATTTGAATTTAACTACAGCTATATTTTTAAAAAATAATTGTAAGTTACAAAATTTCTCTTAGTTACCGACACGTTTGGTTGGTATTACAGAAATACGTGTGTAAGGGTCTTTCTAGGGGATGAGCGATGATATAATGTTTTATTACATTCTCCATTTTTGCAGACGTTGGCTCAGGGTGCTAGTATGTATTTGGGATAAAAGGTCAGTTGATAAGTTATATGGCGGTGAAGTCGAGAAAGTTGTCCGACAAGGAAAATCGATGTGCATCGAGTGCGAAAAGAAATCTTCAAAGATTGATGGTACAGTTCTTATTTCTTGCAATACAACTTCACTGCACAATTCATCTTCAATTTTATTTGCTCAAATTGCCGTAAGCGTTGCCAATATACAATACCATTCGTAAATATTTACCCACCGACTTTTTTTCAATTCAAAGATGCAGACCAGTCGTCGGGAATTATAATTGAAGCTTCGCGTTTAAACTTAACGAGTCGTATTCTCGTAATTGAAAAAAGGAGAGCAACGTACAAAAGAAACTCGGTGCTTTCCGCAAATGGCCTCAAGCACGCTGCCTTTGTGGGGAAAAATGAAGCAAGTGGAGGGAGAGAGAGCAAGTGGGTGAGTGAGTGAGTGAGTGAGTGAGAGAGAGAGAGAGAGAGAGAGAGAATGAGTGTGAGTGAGGGGGAGAGAGAGAGAATGAGTGTGAGTGAGGGGGAGAGAGAGAGAGAGAATGAGTGTGAGTGAGGGGGAGAGAGAGAGAATGAGTGTGAGTGAGGGGGAGAGAGAGAGAATGAGTGTGAGTGAGGGGGGAGAGAGAGAGAATGAGTGTGGGTGAGGGGGAGAGAGAGAGAATGAGTGAGAGAGAGAGAGAGAGAGAGAATGAGTGTAAGTGGGTGAGTGTTTGTTTGATAGAGAGAGAAAATGAGTGTGAGAGAGAGAGAGAGCGTGAGTGAGTGTGACCGAGTGAGAGAGAGAGGGGGAATGAGTGTGAGTGAGTGTGACCGAGTGAGAGAGAGGGGGAATGAGTGTGAGTGAGTGAAGGGAGAGAGAGAAAGAGAGAGAGTGAGTGTGAGAGAGAGAGCGTGAGTGAGTGGGAGAGTAGCGCATTAGTGGTGTTACGCGTAATTGCAATTATTGTAATAACACTCGAAACGGCACTTTTACTCACGTAGACGTGATAAAGAACGTTGATGAGGTGGCAGCCCCGCAGATTGGTGGGCGGCAAAGGAGGTACGTACATTTGCTCGTTCAACCACTCCTCGCCTTCTCCGGGACGGATTTTCCCCCTGGAAACACTTGCCAACTCTCTTGTCTCGCTCGCGAGCACTTTACCACGGCACAGGTACTGGATTGTTTCGGTCAAGGATGCTTTAGTCGATTTCATTGTCACCTGTTGAATCACTTCGATACTGAATGTATACTTAAACGTGGTTCTTGCATCATTTACCCGTGTCGTGTACAAGAATAACGATTGTTGTTGTTGTAACGCGACGTTTGTAACGGTGAAATTATTGCGCTGCACAGTTGATATTAGCGTCGATTTTCATTGTCGCGATATTATCGCAATATTTCACGTGGAAAGAAGAAAATCATTTTCATTACGACGCCGCGTAATTTTACGCTGTAATTAGCACCGTGGATATTTATTTATAATTGGAATTGCAGATAACTAGAGCGTCACGTTTCTTCGAGTAAATCTGGCGTAAGCGTTTTTAATATAATTTCTGGAGCATGTTCAAACTTTGAAGGATTCTCAAATTAATTGTACGAGGTATCGTGTGTCTCATAAGTAATCAAATTATTTTTTGTCACATTTTTAGTCTCGTATAGATTGCAAAGGAAAAATAGTTCATAATCTGAAATTATACCAGAAAAATGGAGTATTAGGTAAAATATCAAAAAACTTGACAATTAACGAATTAAATCCTGAATTTTATAAATAGAAAAATTATTTATACAAATATCGCATTTTTGTATTAAACGAATTTCTTCGTTAATAGCTTATCGACTTGCTTCACGTTTCGCTCGAATGGAGAAATATGCGATAGTATCATATTGTGCTGAGTCCATTTCCATGTTAGAAATTCTTTTGGTTAGCCATCAAATCGAAATACGATACATACCTTGCTTCGATTGCTGACAGTCGCTGAAATGCCGATAGTTTCACCGGGTACATAGCCGCCTCTGTCGAGGCTCACCCTGCAGAACACAGGACCTCCAGAGACACAAGAGACCCCGACTCGTTGCTCGATTTCTTGCCTTGCTGGTTGCTGTTAAAAAGAAAAACGAATGAAAAAAATTTTTAAGTCGATCTCAAATTAATAAACCTTTTGGATCTTCTTTTGAAATTTATTTTATTACTTTTGTCCACTTTGCTTTCTTTTTTTTTTTAGGAATGAAATTTTTATAATTTTATCATATGGAAGAAATATGAATTTTCAAGATCAATAATTTGCAATAATCTTGATATAATAATCAAGAGCTGTAACATGTGATAAATTTGCAATTTAAATGGAAAGAATATGTTTGTATCATTCTGGTTTATTAGACAGTTTTATTTGTGACATCTCTGGAGTATTGGTCGAATTTGAAAAATTTGTCTGTACTTAAAAAGTAGATGATCAATTAAATAGATTGATTAAAAATTCATCAACTGATCGCAGATTGATCGATTAAAAAACAGAAGTGGTCGAGGATTGAATGTCGGTAATGTGGAAAATTATACGAGAACGTATTAATTTATTATATCAAATTATCTATACTATTTCCAACGTATTGTGGAAATTATATTTCAGTGCACCAGCATTTGCGTTCAATTGAAAGAAATATTTTAAAAAAATCGTACAAAACTAAAATCATCGATGTTCAAATCACATTCAGACTGTTTAAAAATTGTCTACTTCTAAATCAAGATGCGCGTTTCACATTTACTTGTTTCGCTAATATCACATTTTAACCCTTTTCGTATCGAAATGATCTTTTCAAAGTATGTTTTATTTATCTACCAATCATCCTGTCAAATTGAAATCAATTTCTGTTCGAATACTCAAGTGTAACATGTGTCCCGTCGAAATTCAAAAAATTGAAATTAAAAAAAAATCACAAATTTTGCATATCTTAACCAAACTTTTAACGCTCCAAAACTGCGATTAATCTTAGACAATAAATTTCATCAATATCCCACCGGTCGCGAAAGAATAAAAAAAAATCGACAAATTTTGCATAATTTAACCAAATTTCTATCTCTTCAAAACTGTCATTGATCTCGAAACGTAAATTTCATTCGATCAAAAAAAAAAAAAAAAAAAAAATTACCCTTTTTTAGATTTCAAATAAAAAACACTTTCAGCGTGTAATTGTTTAACTTCTAATATTGCGAGAACGAATAGCTGTTGCAGAACTATGCAATTACAGTCGCCTCGGACGCATTCTAAGAAACTAATACTTCATACTTTTGCAATCGTTGGATCTTTAAGTTTCATCTATTTCTACACCGGACAGGAGATCAATACTATCAGCTATCACTCGGAGACCTCTCGATTATGCAATGCAAGGCGTGTGCAATGAATGTGACTATACAGTCGAATCAACAATGCGGTCGTGTTCGATGCTGAATATCACGTGCCTACGTAATAATTATCTTACATTACAAGTTACATGCCGCGATGGTATTTCTTTCAGCGTGTAAACAGGAACCACGTTATATTTCCCATAAATCGCGCAATAAATCACGCTTCTTCCTATTTAACACATCGCTTGCACAACAATCATCACAAAGATAACAGGAAAAGAAAGTGTATTTTGCAATTAAAAAAAAAAAAAAAATACAACGAAAGGAGTCGTTATTTCGTAATGTACGATGTAAAATTGCAAATATCTGAACAGTTAAAATACAATAATACAAACTAAAGGGTAAAAGTGAAGAATAAATCGACGAGAAATAAGAACTGATTTTTTCGTTATTTTTCACGAAGGAATGAAATTTTGCCACAGGAAGTGAAAAAGAATCACGATCGCTTTCTACACAGGTCGGTGACCACTATCCAGAACTCGGTTATGGTAAAATATACCTTGGTATTCTCTTTAATAACACGCCGAAGAAAGAAAGCGTGCATTGAAAAATGTTCTGTTCCTTTTTTCTTCTTATTTTTTATCTCGACGAAGGAGCGAAGAAGTGTGGCGGCTGAATTCTTCCGTTAAATGGATCGTGAAACACGTGAAGTGTACTCGAAATCTCGGAATGTATCGTTCCAATCTGACTGTGACTAATTTCTGTGCTATCGCATTAATGCCTCGCATAATTTCAGCGATGACTCGCGCGATAACAACGATACACATTTAAGAACGTTTAATTATTTTAAACAGCAGCTGCTATTATTTCGAAGAAATTCGCGCCGGGGAGAGAAGAAAAGGAAGAAATTTGTAATCAATCTGAAATTGACAAACTTTCTCAATTTTGTCTTATCACTTTCGTTCGATTCGTCTCGATTTGCTTCTTCCGTTAACCCCTTAACATATGACAACCTGTCAGACTCGTGGCGGAGATTCGGGCGAAGATGCGAGAAAAATAGTTGTATTAGTAAGAAAAATTCATCGTAAACCTAACATTCGTTTTAATTCGCAAGACTGAAGATTACTAAATGTAATCAATCCGTAACAAATCAGCTTTAGTCACCCGATATAGTACTAAAACGTTAAATGGCTGACGCTTAGCTGCAAAGTCAGAAAAGAAATCATAGTTTAAGGGGTTAAGGAATGAAATTTTGATAACTTTATCATACGGCAAAAATGTGAATTTTCACGTGACAAATTTTAATTTAATTTAAATGGAAAGGCGCGTTACTGAATTTATTAATGGAATAAAGTAAACGACCGGTGCTTTTCGATATTCGAAGACGTTTCTCTGGTTAGTGTGCAAAACCGTGTGAAATGACGATTAGAAATAAAACGGCGGCTGTTTGCGTGCAGCGAAATTACAAATTAAATCGTTACGCGTGTGATACCGCGTTTAGTGTAATCGCAATAAAATCAACCGACCGGAGTATGTTTCGCGATTTAGGATGCGCGCGTCAGGGCTCGTCTAATTGCACGCTTGGGGTAGAAAGCGTAAGCCGTAGAGCGATGCTCAAAACAAGCACGATCGTCATAGTCGCCATAAAGTTATCGCCTGCATGAATTTGCAGTTCATTTGCGTGAATACACGGTGAACGAAAATTTCGATGCAGTGTCGTCTGATAAATGTTTCATACGGTAAAATGTAACAATTTAACGTAATAAGGGAGATGTGATACAAATTGAGTTCCATCGACGTCGCTTTTTGGGTCGAATTTAATTAACCCAAAATTAAAAAATTGCAAATTTGGAATTTGTGATGCCTTTTTTACTGTTTTGATGTCTTTGGTGTCTTTATTAAATATTAAATCATGTCTTTCCATTTAAAAAATAAAGAAGAGTGGTTCTTAAAATGGCTCATTTGAAAATTGCATTTGTTGCAATGAAACATTTTTTAATAATTTGTCAAATAAGATTTTTTGTGTGTCTATGTGAATATTTCTTGGATTGTTGAAAATGTGAAAATATAAGTTTGGACTTAAATGCTTAAGATTAGAACTTGTAGTTATTTTAATATTAATTTTTCTTTTTCAACAAAATTATATACTATTACTGTGTTGTTTTTCCAAAAAAAAAATGAACATTCCATAGTGGTAAGTATTATCCTTTGCAACGATATGCATCTAATTTTTCAATCATGTTTCAGTTACATAAAAATTCACTTTTAGAAAGTTGCTAATGGATCATTTTGCCCGGCCGGTCGTTCTAGTGTTAAATTTATCTTTTCCATATCTCGGAAAATAATAATACATTATAAGTAAGTAGGTATGTTACTGCAAAAGAAAGAGAAAAAACTAAAATATTCCACTTTTTGCAGGACATTCTATAAATATTACAGTATATCTGCTGCAATGTTTAACAATATTAGTTCAAAAGAAAGATAAAAAATGAAAATTCGAAAAAATAAAAAATTAAAATTAATATTAATATTCCAAATTCGAAAATTACTTTTATAAAGAATTCCATCTCAGCTCATAGAAGCCATGTACCAATTTTCCAAGTATATTTGCACATTAATAATCGACGTGTCGATGGTTTCATCCGTCAATTAAAAAAGAAACAATAATAACGAGCGAACAGTCTACTAAAGAAAAAAGAAGCATTCCGCTTCGTACAAAGAAACGTTTCGCCTGAAACTCAGGCATAACGATCGTTAACGATGGGAACGTCGTGCGGTTCGACATTAATTGTTTCTTCGACGATTTCTTTATCCAAACTCTGTAATTATTTAACAAGGGAACATATAAATATCAGATACGATACGATCCATAATGCAAGAGGAGATAGCGAGGGGACTCACCGCGAGTATCGGTGGTTCTAAATTCAAATCGATGGGGTTCATCACGATGAAGACTTGCTGATTCTTGTGCGTCAGTCCGCCAGGCTCCCGAAGCGCAGCCTTGCAATAATATTGCACCCAGCCGTGCTTACCCAAGAAAGTAGACGGTAGGCCCAGGGGCAGGCCTAATTTGAATGGAAAGCTGTGGATCCCCGGCGATAGCAGCGACGGACCTTCTCCTGGATTCCGGTGTCGTCGTACAAGCGAGTAACAGAGAACGAAGAAGAACAGTTCTGGCATTATTATGCGACGCGTGGATTGCAGGTGCGCCGTTTGCGCGGCGAAAAATTTCTACAATACCGGTGGGATGTGGAATTGAAATATCGACGGGCTCGAAATATTGTACCATTATTTGTAGATATGCCTGGGAAAATGGTCGAGTAAATAAAATCCCGAGGCGTCTAGATATAGATAAAGTTTGGAAATTTTTTTTTGTAGGAATTGCTGTATGAAAAGTTTCAATTTTTTCTTTTTTTTTTTTTGAAGATATAAATGTAGCTTTTGGCTTTTTTTGCAAATTTTGGAAAGTGAAAATGTTGGGAGATGAAGGAGTTATTCGATAATTGAGGAACTTCTAAAAATAGGTGAAGTTTGAGAATTTTTTTGATAGGAATTGCTGTATGAAAAGTTTCCATTTTTTTTTAGAGGGTATAAATGTAACTATCAACATTCTTCTCCAATTTTTTAAAGTAAAACTGTTACAAAATGGAGAAGTTATTGCGAAACATCTTCTGTTAGAACATCGATTGCAGGTCGTTCTTGTCGGCAAGGCTTGGAACGTCTGAAATAAGTAATTCTTTTTGTTTCATAAATAGAAATGTATTAGCAACAATGTAGGGCAAGATTTTCCAGAAATTGTAGTTATTATAGAAATGGTAGCAGTTTGAAGAGGAGAAACCTCTTTTTACCAAAAAAAGTTTCTAAAATATTAAATAATTGAGATATCGAAAAAATCTTACAGTACATTGTAGGTAACACATTTTTATTTACGAATCAAAAGGAATTTTTTATTTCAGACGTTCCAATCCTTCCCGGCAATGGCGGTCAGCAATCGATGTTTTAGCAGGAGAAATTTCGCAATAACTTCTCTATTTTGTAACATTTTCACTTTTTTAGAATTGGAGAAGAAAGCTGAAGGTTACATTTATATCCTTTGAAAAAAATTGAAACTTTTCCTTCGGTAATTACCTATAAAAAAAATTCCCAAACTTTACCTATTTTTAGACGCCTCGGTAAAAACTAAACAGAGCTACAAAAGAATAATATTTCGCAAGGTGAAGAAGAATCTGTCGATAAACTTCGTGAGTCGAATTTAATAATTTATACAAAACTATTTCAAAACAAATATATGATTTTTAAAATTTCCAACTTTCACAGCGTTTAAGCTCGCAAAACTATTCTTACAATTTCTCCTTGATTAATTTTTCAGCCCAATATTTGAATAAAATTTAACATCAAATTGTAACAATGTAACAAAAAAGCAACAACGAATTCACCAGAACGAATATCTAAAATTACAAAATTGTTAATCAAATAAAGTGCTGTTCACTCGAATGAAAGTAACATAAAATCGCAATAACCACATACGGATACTACAGTATGTATTCCCAGTATCGTGCTAAATGAATTAATAGTATCTGGACAAAATGGTTCAGCGAAAATGAAATTAATTCAGATAACTGCACTCTGGCGATAGAGCCGTTCAGTCCATCAACAGGTTCCTTTTTCTCAAAATTCAATACTCGGCAACTTCAAAGAATCTATTTCCTAAAATTCCATTCGTCCCACGATCTACTCTCGTTCAACAAAAAAAAAAAAGAAAAATAAGTATAAGTATTATTAATCCTGAAACTTAGTTATTACGAGAAACACATCTATATAAACTCTGCGAAGTTAATTTAATCTGTTAAAATACTACTGGTCGTGGGTTTATCAAGCAGTACTCATTATCCGAACTACATTGTGCTTGTTTCCTTTTTAACGGCTACATTAAATATACCGTAATGCAATTTCTTTTCATTACCTGGTTCACCCAGTAATCTCATACGAAAATCTATGTAGTTTTCTTTGTCGTAAACCCTCTCGGCGCGCTGGCTACGTACACGCACCACTCCTTCGCCGATCACATGAAAATGCAATCCTGAAACACTGCGACACACCGAACATATCATTATAGTGCGATTGCATCGATGCAATAAATCGTCATTTTTTTTTTTTCTCGCGTTGGAGACATTTCACTTCGATATAGAAGTATGGTAATTACAGCGCTGAAATGTTGATTGAATAAATAATTGTTAAATTGAAAATCAGTCGAAGTTTAGTAGGTACCCAGGGAATTTATTTCAGTTATTAAATACTGCAGTGGTTATACTGATATAATAAATGATTTGCATCGATCCGATAAGTTCTGGTCATTTTTTGTTTCCTTAGAGAAATTTACTTTGATATAGAAATTTGGTAATGATAGTGCTGAAATATTGAAAACAATAAATAATTATTAAATTGAAAATGAGTCAAAGTTAATAGGTATTGAAGGAATTTATATCAATTGCAGTGATTACACTAAAATAACAAATGTTAAATAATTACCGAAAGTGTGAGTGAAATATAATATACAGGATGGACCAAGTAAAACAGAAGAAAAAATTCTTTTGGTGGAAGAAATGGCAAAAAATGAAAGAAGTTTCACGTTTGATTTAAAATTTCAGAGTCCAAGGTCATTTTAAGGTCACGTTATATTACGTGTTTAACTGCATATTAATGCTTGCTGCAACATACAACAGAAAAAGTTATATATTCGTGTAAAGAAAACATAAATGACCTTGAAAAAAAAAACAGAAAAATAGCATTTATAAGAAAAAATTTTTTTCCATATTATTCACTTTTGGAATTCATTTAAATTAAGCTAGAGAAAATAATTACGCGACCCACCCTGTATAACGCGTTGTAAAATATGTGCCACCATTACCGATCCAAAAGATAGTGAATAATGGACACAGTAAAAAGGTGAGGGAAATTTCTTTTCGTTTTACACACGTATCGATAATTATTCGTTACACTTTCTAGAAAGTAGTTTAACATCGTTGACACCTTGGAAATTCTTACGTTGAATTAACATTCTCAGAGCGTTGCGTGTAATTACGTGGTGGAAAAAGTTAGTGTACGTTAACGGGAAACGTTGTTACCAACACTGTAGCCAATTATTTCTGACAAAGTGAAGAATTTCGTTCGAAGCTTGTAATTGCATCGTTCCTAGATGTTATTACCCGTGGTGCAAGTAAATAGGACAAAATCTATCGAAAGGTGTGCATAAGTTACATTGATTAATATATGTGCATAATCTTAGATACATACTTTGTATAATCAGTCATCGTACTGTCGCTAGATATATACTGATTTGCATTGTGAAAGTTATTTGCCTTCAGCGAGCACAACAGAAGACGTTACGCGAACTAGTCACGATTAAGGTAAATCTGACGAAATGTAATTATTTCACGTAATATGTATACGTGTTTTCTCATGCTTTCGATTATCCCGCAAGTGTCAAAAATATTAAAACTTGAAAGTCTGTCAATTCGAGAATAATTCGTTTCAAATAAATCTTCTATCAATGGTTCCGTTTTATTTACGTTGTATTCGTTAATAATCGATTGTCTTAAAAAGTCGACTGTCTCAAATAATGGACTGTCTTGAGAGACTGTCTCATTGTAATAATGCGTTTATAGAAATCACCAATTATACTAAAATAATTATTTTATTAGATTTCCCATTATATTCGTGAGAAATTGTACGAAAAAATCTATAATTAAATTCCATATAAAATTAAGGTGAATTTTCTTGTAAATACTTACTAGGCCTCATCGTCTAGTTCGATGAGTACCCGGCCGGACAGAAAGTGACCGGGAAAGTATAAGAGGTTCGTGTTGTCGAAAAGTATCAAAAACTTGCTCAGCTTTCGCGTCATGGTCTTATGCGGCACGATGGTGTTGAAGGATCAGCAACAGGTATGACGGATCACACTCACGTCAGAACAGCTTCGCGGTAACTGATTATGCACTGACTTGTCGCGAGCACGAAATTTTTCCCGGCGGGGACCGCATGCATGTCAGTGAGAATCACTGGCACACACTGGATCGTACCACCAGCACGCCCATAACCTTGCACACGCTACGTTTCTCTCTTTGGACCGTTGTCGGAATCTCATTCGGCCAGCCAAGCTTTTCTCGATCGAACAATCGCGTTCTTGCACACTTTCATTTTCCACGTACTCCTCGTCGGTAGGTGATTTTCGAGCAGTTAAATCAGTAAACACGGAGACGCAGTCGCATCGACGAAATAGACGAAAACGTTGATAACAACACTCCTACGTTATTATCCGTCAGACATTCTGCCGCAGGCCCAAGGAGCCCGTCTCTTCCTGCCCATTCTTGGAGCTATGTTCACTTTCGCTCCCCTACCTCTGTCGTCGTTTCCACCTCCAACCGACGTAATTACCTGCTTTCCTCCAACGACCAATGGAGAACCGCTTCCAGTTTCTCGTGCACCAAGTCCGGATTAGATCGTCTTGATTCCCAGAGTTGCTGTATCACCTTGCTAACCGGACTGTACCCGCGGTCGATGAATAAAGTCGATAAGGTTCGTCTGGCACGGTGCATCGCGGATCGTTCCCTATAACCCGTGGCCAGATGCGCTCGGCCGATAAGGTCGGTACGGTACATGAATTCACCGGGAACCCAACTGCCGAATGAAAACTATATAGGCGCTATTTTACGCGTATATAATGTGTGTGCATTTAAGCGAACATGGGAATGTTCATTAGATATCTGGTTTTCGTATGAAAGATTTTCAGCGGGTGTTCGATAATTGCGCGCTTCAATGTGCACGGATCTGTGCTGATAACCCGCGTCTCGTTCAACAGTTCGCTATTATGCTAACGGTTTAGATCTCTTATTTTCACAGCTGCTTCTAAACTTGTAAGCCTTCGCATAAATAAAGAGATAATTGTATAACATCTCCTCGGCATATTTTATTTCAATCTCCTTTTTCCAGTTTTGAGGTGTTTTATTTCCAATCTAGTCATGATCTTTCTGTTTAAATGTTTTAGTTTGAAGCTTTTTCTGATACTTTTATATTCGATATTATATCTTATAATTTCAATGTACGCAATAATATATAAATTACAAATTTAATGAGATTTTATATGTAACATTTAAGGAAGAAACGTAATTTTATACACTTTGAGGGTTGATCTATATGTACTATAGCTAAACAAATTTTAATTTTAACTGGTTAAACTATATAAATTACATTTGAATCAATAAAAGTAAAAAAACTATTAATTAATATGTTGAAAGATTACAAGTTTATAAAATTACCATTTTCTTGTCGAGTATTTAAAAGGCGCATACAGTGCCCTCGTGTGGACGCGGCACGAAATATTCGTCTAACATGCAGTTGCGCGTTAGCTTTTGCATCGAAGGACTTGTTATGGAGAAGAAAATTGTAGACCAAAAAGAGTACTTGAAGAAGTACTTGGCTTCAGGAGGTACCGATGACAAGAAGAAAAAGAAAAAGAAAAAGATGAAAATGGGAGCAAGAACGTAAGTTTCAATTTGCAAATATTGTAGTTTGATTGGGCAGTTTCAATGGGAAACCCTTGTGTTTTAGGTTATAGTAATTGTTTCACCCGTCTTCCTGGACAGTTAAATTGAAATATTTTGAAACTTTTGTACAGTGAATTGTGAAAAAACTTGTTTCATTTATTGTCATTTCCTTAATTTAATAATAGAATAATACCGAAGACATGTTTAAATGTGAAAAGGAATACCGTGTTTTAAGACCAATTATAAAATCGATAATCGATTTTAACGAATTTAGGGAATAATAACATATTCCCGAAGATTATTCATTTCTTTGCACAAATTTTGAGATGTGTTTTCCAGAGTAAAAGTCATTGATGATGATATAGACCTGAAGAATATGAGACCACTCGCAGAGAATGAATTTGATATTTTCATCGATGTAGAAGATGCACCTCAAATTGCTGGTGTTGTGGATGAACGTGGACCAGTTGATTTCACAGATAAAAGAAGATGGAAAATTATAGCAAATGAGGATGATGGAGATTTGACCATTACTAGTGTAGAGAAAGAAAATAAGCAATCCAAACAAGTTAGAAATGTTTCTGATAAAAATTTAAGCCTACCAAGAAAACAAAAGAAATATTCAGATGATAATTTGTCTCCTCCAAGAGTATCTAAAAAGCACAGAAGTGAGACACATAAGAAAAAGGAAAGGGATGAAGATAGCGATCTAAGCCCACCTAGATTAAAATCCAAAAAGCATAATTCTAAGCATAAGACTCCAGAAAGTGATAGTGACAATGACAGTAGTCAAGAAATAGATATTCCACATCATAAAAATAAAAAAAAGCCAAAGAGGAAAGAACAGGTATCTGATGATTCTGATTTGAGTCCACCCAGAAGGACTAAAAATTATGATTCAGATTTAAGTCCACCACGAAAAAGTAAAAAACATAAATCTCATAAAATTAAGCCTAAGGATAAAAATGATTCAGATTTAAGTCCTCCCAGAAAAAGTAGGAAGGACATGGATTCAGATATGAGTCCTTTGAGAAAGAATAGAAAAGATTCAGATTCTGATGCGAGTCCACCAAGAATTAGAAAAGATAAAAATTATGACTCAGATAATAGTCCACCAAGAAAGAACAAAAAACATAAACATAGGAGAAGAGATTCTGATTCTGATTTAAGTCCACATAGAAGAAAGTATGAAAAAAATGTAAATGTTCATGTGAGTTCTAAATACAAGAGTAAAAGTGATGAGCCTGATCTTAACTTATATAGACACAGTCAAAATTCACACTTTGATGATAAAAGAACTAGGCACAATGATGTGGGTCCATTAAGGCAACATAAACACAGAGATGAAAAAGTAGAAAGGAGTAGAAGTCATAAATATTCAGAAAAGAATTCTAGACCAGACAGGAAATATTATGATTCAGACATGAGTCCACCTCGTAAAGGAAACAGAGATGTGGATACAAATCTAAGTAGATATGAAGGAGATGACAGAGATTTCTATAAATCTAAAACAAATAAATATACTAATAAATATGATTATGATTCCAAACATCAGTCACACAGAGAGGACTTCTCAAAGTCAAGGCACAGAGATAATGATGAAGAAGATAACGAGAAACGGATGAAAAAAACATTAGACGGAAAAACAGCAGGATTGCAAAATGCTAAAGCTTTGCGAGAAGAAACAGAAGCGTACAAAAAGCGAGAAGCTGAACACTTTAGCAAGGTATTTAAACAAATTTGCTTTATTATCTTTATTGCTTTATAATTATCTTCATTGTTTATCGTATAATAAAACATTAAAATATTTTCTTTAGCTTAGTAAAGATGTAACAGGAGTGGGTCAGGCTACGATTGTACGTAATACTAAAACCGGCAAAAGACGTAACTTGGAACAGGAAGCAGCAGAAGATCGCGAGAAACAAAAACGACAGGCAGAAATGGACGAAAAGTATGCTAAATGGGGAAGGGGGTAAGTTATACAAAATTCAATTTGTAAAATAAAATTTTTATATTTGAAACAAAAATGTTGAACCTACACTTGTTATATCAGCTTAAAACAAGTGGAGGATCGTGAAGAGAGATTAAAAGATGATCTGTATGAAATGAGTAAACCTCTAGCGAGATATGCAGATGATGTTGATTTAGACAAAAGGCTTAGAGAGCAAGATAGAGAAGGTGACCCCATGTTGGAATACATTAAACAAAAGCAAATAAAACAGATGGTTTATATGACATACAATTACATTTTTAGATAAGCCAGCCTATGAAGGATCATTCATGCCAAATCGTTTTGGTGTCAAACCTGGCCATAGATGGGATGGGGTTGACAGGAGTAATGGGTATGAAAAACGATGGTTCGAAGCACAAAATGTAAAGGTAGCTCGCCAAGAGGAAGCTTACAAATGGAGCACTTCTGATATGTGAAATGTATATGTTTCTCATTTTTTATGTATCATACATACTATGATTCGATACTATGAGTAACTTTTTATTTGTTAATCGGAGAATCGAAAGCATATATTCGAAATTGTAAAATACAATTTCTATTACCTATACCTAATAAACACCCTTTCAAATTTGTTATTAATCATTTTTGTTTCTTGTCCTTAAAATTCTCTGTATCTAGAGAATCGCGCATGACAAAGAAGCGTTAAAAATACCGACAGCTATTTGTCAGTTAGATTCTGAGCGCAAGTCACGCAACTATGGAACGCAAACAAATATGCAAGTACCGTCCGTGAAATATGAATCATCAACGGCGGTGAATCGCGAGGGATTATCAAAACCGCGAAATCGATATTTGTTCCAGAAAACGGGAAGAACGCGAGAGCTGCCTGGCGCCTGTCTGCCACCAGTTTCTCGATTTAATACAGCGTAAAGCGACCAACGGAGTATCCGTTTATAAAATCGATCGAACCTCGCAAAAGTACTCTCTTCTTGGATGGTACACGAGAGTTGGGAGTGGCGCCTAGTTAACCGATGATACACGTAACGTGCGAAATCCACTTATCGTTTTCAAAGGATTGAAAAAAAATACGTTCGTTAAAATCTGCAGAGTGTCCCTAACGGTTTCGGGTCCCTTTAATACCGAGTTTGTACAAATCAGTCGTGGATGTTCACATTGTTATTGGTTTCGCGCGCACGCAGTCGTTCCTGTGTACGCACACAGATATCGCGAAGGAATATATATCGACTCGCGTAGTTGCAACGCAAGGGCAGGGTCGTCGGCAGTGTCAGTACGCCTCGCGACGTCGACGGGAATTGTGTTCGTGGTACGTTCGTAGGTTAGCGTTTAGTGTTCGCCGGTAGTAGCTTTTGTACAGTGTTTTAAATATAAATATATATATTTTTTTTAACCGGCTAATTCCGCGAACGGATGAGACTGCGTAACCGATCGAATTTACGATACGTCCAGTTTGACCAATCTAACAAAAATCATTGTATTTTCGTCCTAACGTACCGCTACGTATAAAGCCGGTACCACGGCGTGTCGTTCACCTCCGTGCCACGAGAGGAAAAACGAAATTTTTGGAAACGCCGAAAATACCATACTGTGATCTTTCCTATTAACTAATTCGTCCTTGCCGGGGGTATCGGTAGTTTTTTCTTAGCGCACAACGAGCCTCCACGTAATCTCGGTTCCTTATTCGACGATTCGATGTTAACGAGAAAAGCACTTAGTCGATCGTAATCGCGAATTACACGGCGAGTGTCGCGAATAACGGTGGGCGTTTGCGATTGGAGGATAGAGAAGACATATAGAAAAAGAAGAGGACAAGGTACAGACGAGTGAAAATGGGGTGCAACACGAGCAAGGAGAGTGTCCAGCCGGTAGGGGATGAAGCGAAGGAGGACGTGAAGAACGGCGGTGAGTAACGTACTTTTTGTTATTCCTTTTTTATGCTTGTTAGAACGTGATATAGGAAAAAAATGTCCACGTCAATTACAATATATATATGAGAATATGCATACTTGTCTAGATACAGATGATATTCTAATTTTTTGATTAAATTGACAAACTGCCACGCGTTATTTTTCAAACGAAATACCTTTTTACATAATTCTGTCAGAATACGTAGTTTCAAGTAAAAGAACGTATTATATCGATACGTACGTTTTTTGCTCGGGAGATTACGAAAGTTAGTAGTAAACGAACCAACGAACGTTGTTTCTTTCAACGATCACGATTCATCGTGAAAATTTCTCAATACGTTCCTCGCTTCGCGATAACTTTTTAAGAAAACGTTCAATTTACATTCGTCGAAAGTTTTCTACTCAAAGTTGTATTTTCTTTTGCTTATACCGTTTTCCAATTAGAAACGCCCTCGCGGTATACATAGAACATGTAAACTGGTCTTATCCACAACGCAACTACAAATGCGACACAACTTATTTCCGTCGTAAATATTCCAAACATAGAAATGAATAATATATTCCTTTCTTCTGGCAAACCGTCTGGCCATTAAAAACTTTCAGCAAATTGACTCGCTTTTTCCATTCGATAGATTAAATCTCCATTCGAGAACACTCCTCTGTATTCCATCTTCGTTGTGTTACATTTCGCTTCGCGATGACTCAGACGTGGAAGAAAATCGCTTAATCGTTGAAGGTCAAGAACGTTTTCGTCCAGCGTGTAGAAAAAGGCGAGCTTCCAAGCGGCAGGAAGTGCCGCGTACGCTTTGTTGTTGTTTTTCGTTCGAAGGGGGATTTGAAGAATTATGGGTCTCCTTGAATGCTTCGCGTCCTTCGTTGTTATTCCGAATATTGTTCAACCCTCGATGTTAAAAGTGGTCGTCGCGACGTTCGGTCGTGACGTGAAAGAACGCGAAACGGTAGGAATCTGACGAGTAACGAAATCGTAATGAAATCGATCTTGCGAGCGTGGAGGCATTCGTATTCTGAACAGTCTGAAATTCTCCGGAGAGCAATTTAAGCATTCGAGCGCCCAATGCTCCGGGATCTGACTAACGAAGCTTGCAATTAAGAACTTTTTTAATCCTACACCCAACTGAAACACACTTTCACGGGATTCTTAGTTTTATTACGCTGTCTGGGAATTTACGATATGGGCCGGAAAACGTGTTTATTTTAATAGCGGAAAATTTCGACGTTTCGCGAATGTTTATCTTTTTTCTTTTTTTTTGAGGTTATCTTCTCGATTCCCGTTGAAAGATGTGAATTTCTCTTACGAACAGAGTGCAGACTTTTAATTATCGGAACTCTTACGTCATTTCTTTTTATATTTTTCTCTCAAATTGTTCTGCATCTGTGCTGTGTCTGTTTTTAACATTGACACGAAACGTCAAACATTATTGACGTTGATCAAATAAATGAAAGGACCTTTAAATGTCTGTAGCGCAACATTCGCTTAACCTTTTTGATTGATTAATCAACTCGTCTTTTGTGGTAAATAACTGCATCGTGAACTATGTACTTGCACAAGAACATTCTTTGGCTGGATCGTTAAGCAGCAACCGTTAGTAGTATTGAACATTGTCTAATATTTTCTCAGCAGTACGAGCTGAAATATTTACAGAAATTTAAATACCCGATACTTGCATTTCTATGCAATTTACCGTTCATTTATATTTATTTGTAGAATAGACGTGCATGCGGGAGAATGAAAATGAAATTGAGGTACTTGCGAAATTGGTATTTCATTCTACGAGTACTTTTATTCTTGTTTTTCTTTTTACCAACAATTTATCTAGAAATAACCAAATAGAACTAAAAATGGATGTTTTTTTTCATTTCTGAAACTGTTATTCTGACTAGTTAATGGTGTTCTATGAAATATGTATTAATATATGAATAATTATTAATGAATTATTGCATCTTCGTTTATTAATTAGTATCATTTGCTAGGAAGTAGAAATGTAATTAATATTTTTTACTAAAAAAATTTCCTATTTTTATCCAACATCATCTCAGTAACGAAACAATCATCAGATCTCCTTGAATCTCTTTGAAAAATGAATTCTCTTCCAATCGTTTTTAATCAAAGGATTCCCAGCATAGAACAACAAGTTGTCCAACAAGGAAGTTAAATTCTCGTGTTACGAATCGCGTTGTGAAACGAAGGTCAATAGATCTCTCGGATTACGAGCTAGAGTTCCTGGCCTTCTGCTTTTTCTTCACGTTTTATCCGTGAATCGCGTTAAGGTTGGCTCGCGATTGCTATGTACACCTCCCTGCTCCCTCGATATCGATAAAGTCTGTTTCGAGGCTTAAGAACTCTATTAGAAAAAGCTCGGTGTTGCGTGCAACGATAGTGAGAGATTGAGTTAGTGTGAGAGTGAGTTAGAGAGTGAGAGAGAGTGAGTGAGTGAGAGAGAGTGAGTGAGTGAGAGAGAGAGAGAGAGAGAAAGTTAGAGGGAGAGTAAGTGAGTTACAGAGAGTGAGTTAGAGAGAGTGAGTGAGTGAGTTAGAGAGAGTGAGTGAGTGAGTTAGAGAGAGCGAGTGAGTGAGTTAGAGAGAGTGAGTGAGTGAGTTAGAGAGAGCGAGTGAGTGAGTTAGAGAGAGTGAGTGAGTGAGTTACAGAGAGTGAATCAGTGAGTTAAAGAAAGAGTGAGTTAGAGAGAGTAAGTGAGTTACAGAGAGTGAGTGAGTTACAGAGAGTGAGTGAGTGAGTGAGTTAGAGAGAGTGAGTGAGTGAGTTATAGAGACTGAATCAGTGAGTTAAAGAGAGAGTCAATTAGAGAGAGTAAGTGAGTTACAGAGAGTGAGTAAGAGAGAGTGAGTGAGTGAGTTAGAGAGAGTGAGTGAGTGAGTTAGAGAGAGTGAGTGAGTGAGTTAGAGAGAGTGAGTGAGTGAGTTAGAGAGAGTGAGTGAGTGAGTTACAGAGACTGAATCAGTGAGTTAAAGAAAGAGTGAGTTAGAGAGAGTAAGTGAGTTACAGAGAGTGAGTGAGTGAGTGAGTTAGAGAGAGTGAGTGAGTGAGTTGAATCAGTGAGTTAAAGAGAGAGTCAATTAGAGAGAGTAAGTGAGTTACAGAGAGTGAGTAAGTTACAGAGAGTGAATCAGTGAGTTAGAGAAAGTGAGTTACAGAGAGTGAGTGAGTGAGTTAGAGAGAGTGAGTGAGTGAGTTACAGAGAGTGAATTAGTGAGTTACAGAGAGAGTGAGTTAGAGAGTGTGAGTGAGTGAATTAGAGAGGGAGTGATTGAGTAAGTGAGTCAATGAGTTAGACATAGAGCGAATGAGTTAGTGAGTCAGTGAGTAAGTAGAGTGAATGAGTCAGTGAGTCAATGAGTTGAATTGAGTTAGACATAGAGCGAATGAGTTAGTGAGTCAGTGAGTAAGTAGAGTGAATGAGTCAGTGAGTCAATGAGTTAGACATAAAGCGAATGAGTTAGTGAGTCAGTGAGTAAGTAGAGTGAATGAGTCAGTGAGTCAATGAGTTGAGAGAGATTGTGAATGAGTCAGTGAGTCAGTGAGTTAGGGAGTGAATGAGTGAGTCTGAATAAGAGATAGAGAGAGGGATGCTGTGAGTTGAAAATGGGATGTTCCCAATTGAATGGAATGAAAATTCTCGGCACGGCCAGAGCCTTAACGACTCCCCATATATTTTGTTTGGGTACTCGAGCACGAAATCTGTTCATACGCTTACGATATTTATGAGCGGCGCCGATCGGCACGCGCCGTTCACGTTTCTTGGCATTTTCTACGAGTATGAAAATATCTCTCAATCATTCCTCGTTTCTCTTTATTCACTTTTACTTGAGAAAGTCTTATGACAATTTTCATTTTTACCGTCACGATATTCGATAAATAGGTTTGTTCGATATTCCATCTTTTCAGTAATAGAAAATTGTTGTAGAATACGACAAACGTTGGGGTTTATGTTGATATTGTTGTTGTTTCAAGATTTCGAAAATTAATTTCTTCGCATTTTTATTTATATAACGATTTTTGATTATATCAATTGTGGAATTGCGAATTAATTGTCTAATTGTTGTTCAAGCAAATAATTATTAACACAAGAGCAGTAATTATAGAAGATTCTTGTAACGAGTCAGAGTTCGTAATTTATTACAATTGAATATCACTTGATTTTTTGAAAAAAAACTTGAATGGAGGAAATTTCAGAGTTCATAACGACGCCGGTAATACTTTTTCTTAATTTCCATTAATCGAGCTTCGTCGGACTTGTCAAATAACCAGCTTTATGCACATCCTTTCGTTATTGTAACAGTACCAAATCAATCTGGCAATTAAAATTTGACTTTGAAATTTGCAAAGCTGCAAATCTATAAGCTTTTTTCCCGTACTACCAATCGGATATTGAAACTTTTTCATTGGACGTTCCAATCGGAATTGTTGCATCGCGCAGGATATATTCGATAGATTCCAATATTTTATACTTCCTGCCGAATTTTTTGCTCTTTTTTTATACGTGTCAGTTCTTCTATGATCAAATTTAATATATGCATTTCGCGAGATGCAGTTGATAGAATAACATTCTTACTCCAGAATTCCATTACACGGAAGTTTAGAAGCTTTTAGATTTTATACAGTGCAAAACATTTCGCGGAATAGTAAACAAAGAACGTACCAAAAAATTCATTAATTATTCCCAAAATTATCTAAATTTTTTAACTTTAAAGAAACTAGAAACGAAATAGCATATTTTTCGAAAATCACCGGAAAATAATTAAAATAATTTTCTGAAATGAGAATTGAAAGATACGGAAACTGTATCCTTCGATTTTCCGTGAAGCATCCGAAGTAGAGACCTTGACGAAAATTATAAAAATTTATATCTACATTTTTAGTGGAACGCTCATGCGTAAAACGTTAAAAAGGAGGAAGAGTAAGCATGCAACTGAGATGTTTTTTTAGCGATAGGCATGTTTCTCGTAGCATTCTAT